AATAGTAGTTTTTTGTTTTAAAAACATAACTATTTATAATGCTCCCTAAATAATAAAAAAAAAAAAAATTACAGTGAAAGCAATGAAGATTTTGTAGGTTTTGAACCAAACTAAATAACAGTAAACCTTTTTTTTTTATTTACGGTATTTTCTTATTTTGATGTTTTGAGCTTTTTTGTGTTTAGAACAATATATACTAATTTTTAAAGTATGAAATTGAATTTTTGTTCAAATAAAAATCTTTCAAATGCGACTGTAGCTTTTTTTTCCCCGAAACTTTGTCTTCAAAATAAGGGTGCGTCTTATATTCCGAAAAATACGGTACATAATGCCACTGTCATTAATTACATGTGAATAGATTGTCCAATACGATTTTCCGCGTTTGTACACTATAAGTTCAAGACTTTACTAATCGGATTCGCTTATTACAAAAAAAAGTATATTTTCTCATCCAACCTAAAATTCGTATCAGAGTTTGGCAAATATATGTCATTAATTAAACAATTAAAAAAAAACGAGGCACCCAATGAAAAAAACAAACAAACTAGGTTGAACTAACAAATGTTTCGGTGGCGAATATAGCCTTCTTGAAAGAATTTTGATTTTGGACAATGTTTTTAGGCCAGCATAAAGTAATCAGCTTCAGTGAATGCTGTAAGAACAACTTTTAAACTGTGTTTAACAAACTCCTTCCAAAGCCAATTTCTCCAACAAGTATTTACTTATATACATATAGATTATTATTAATCAACATGATAAGATCAGGTAATACATTTGACAACACATGGCTTAAGAACGTAACCATGTCTCAAACAACAAACATAAATATTTAATGTCCTGTGGAGTCGTTTATAGATATACTAGCATTCCATGCTTTCCAGACATCTAATTACATTTATATTTTAACTATATGTTTGATCATCAGTACATTAATTGGTTGTTTTGTAGATTAAAACTGACTGGTTCAGTGCATTTAGCAGTTTTTGTAGTAAAACTGTATAGTCTAGTACACTAAGTAGTTGTTACTGACAGACTGAAACTGTTTTGTAGAAATTAAAACTGCCTTGGTTAACACACTAAGCATTTTTATATAAAAACTGAAACTGATTGGTTCAGCACACTAAGCAGTTTTAAGGTGAAACTGAAATTGACTGGATTAGTATACTAAATGGTTAGGAAGAAACCAACTGTTTTCTGTTAAAAAACAATAACAGTCTTAATACATCTCATATAGATGTATATGTAATGGGCTCTGCATGATTATTCTGTACAGTTTTAATGTAATACTAGGGCAATCTAGGGATTGTCTTCGTAGATGTACATTACTTTTCAATTATTTTAGTCTGATCTATACAGTTAGCTTACTTTTAACCATAAGTTCTTAAATTCATACAAGTAAAAGTAGAGTTTTAATAAACAGAAAAAAAAAACTACTTTAGTTGCTCTCTGGAAAACTACGGTTTTTTTTTTTTACTTTCAAAAAATAAACTGTTGCCATGAGTTTTATAGAGTGTTGGATTTCATAGGACTGTTTAAAATTTAGCAAGTTTTCCTTATTATTGGAAAGTTAAAAACTCTTTTTCAAGCCATGAAAGTGACCCAGTGACTCTTCAAGGCTGTTACTAATAAAAAATCACTTCCCACAAATACATAAATATACATAAAACAATTTGTAACTGTAGCAAAACTTAGTGAATGATCAAAATGAGAGCAGAGAATCAGTTTTAAAGAATGCTAAAATAATCACATTAAAACCACAAATAAGTAAGACTTCTGCACAGATTATAAAGTATTACTACCGGTACTAAAATGTTCATGCTACAGTGTCTGTAAACTGTATAAATACAAATATTTTTTAAGCAAAATGAAGAACAAAAACTTGTTTATTACACTCAGGTATTTTTAGCTTCAGCTTACAAGACAATACCCATTCTTAGAAAATACACTACTCTATAGTTAAAATGTGGTGAATAACGTTGGAGGCATGATTAGGGCAGCATTCTTAGCCACCAAACTGTAACAGTCTATACAGGGTCAAAGCACACATGCATAACATGTACATCTTATTATAGCAGTGGTTCAAGCACGTACAATTTTTCTTAGATTACCAAAACAACTCAATATAAATTATGTGCTCATCTGCTTTACAAACTATTTACTTTGTCAGTTTCATGAATAAGTGCTTAGCAAGTAGACGTTTAGCTGTTGGGTGTCTGAAAACAAACACAAAATGTACACGGCTACAGACGTTACTGTATAATACATGGGACAATCACGTTTTAGTAATAACTACTAATTTCTCACTTTATGCTCCATTTTGAAATCAGAAAAGATGGTTATGGAACAATCAAGTCACAGTTGAGTTTAATTACAAGATACGGAGTGTCTCTTGGAGAAAAAACTTATTATTATTTTTTTTTTACAATCCATACAAGCTGCCAGCTAAAGCTAAGAAAGCAGTTAAATTACAAAGCTAATTTGAATATCTTGTCAGGTGAGCCGATATCACTGAATCTTCATGAGTCCACATAGTTCAAGTGGTGTAAGGGAGAATTTAAAGAGCCCTTGTCTTGCTTTAAAAATAAATTAGATAAACAAAGCTACCAGCCATTCAATCTCAAAAACTGCAACATCTTTGTCACCCACAAAAATAACACTGATTTTTAAGCTTGCTTTGATGACAAGGCCAGAAATCAGTCAAAACATTTACTTCCCATGCTTAGTTGTTATGCTAAGACCAGAACACTGCCATAAATGTTTGATTTGCACTCACTTGCCCCTCCTATAATTCTTACTTGCATGACAGAAAAACTAACTGGTGGTCAGAACAAGTTAATCAAGTCTATCCTGTTTCTGTTCAGTTCCTTCCTGTGAAGATGATTGTTGTTGGTGGGTGGTAGGAGGCTGCAAAGTCACATTTACTGAAGTTGTTGTTCTTACTGGTGGTCCAGCTGGGGTTGTATTTGTGTTGACTCCCTGGTTACAAATACTAGATGTAGTGACCACTCCCGAGGTTGTCCCAGAGGAGTGATAAGAAGGACTGGTTGCCTGCTGCTGACTCCCACTTGAAGGACCAATTAACAAGTTACCCATACGATTAGGTACAACAGAGTTCACTGGATATGAGTTAACACTGGGAGGGGGTGCAGGTGGTGGGGGACTAGGGTGCTGCATCCCCCCCTGCCATATTGGAACTTTTTCCTCGGGAGGAGGACTCTCACCTTCTTCAGAAAGTTCTTGTTCTTCCTGCTCCTGAAAGTACACCATAGTTTTGTATTTCAAACACTGTAAATATGATACATATATTTACAATAAACAAGCTATGCAAAAAAAAAAAAACAACAACATTATAATTAAATCCAGTTAAAGCCCAAGACAACAAAACATAAAAGAAAACTAAAAACAAACAAACAATTTTTCCAATGGTATTCTATAATAAAAACAACGATGATGCCAAAAGATGCTAATTTCCAAGATTCGTTATTATGATACCAATATTATTAAAGTTTTTATGGAACATTTGAATTACATATTTTGTTTATATTAATGTTGCTTTGATTTTGTAACAATAAACTTTTATTTTTATTTTCTGATCCACATAAGAGATCTATTTGGCTAATGGAAACTTAACTGTGAAAGATAATCTAAAGCATAGTTTTGTAAATGGGCAATATAAAAATCTAAAATAACCCTTTGACATTCTACATTCTAGCTCAGTCAGTTTAATAGCCTTAACCAGAATAGAAAAATCTTATGTAAGTATTACTTGAAATGAATATTTTTAGTGATTTATTACACTAATTATCTAATAAAAAACATCCTTTAATTATGAGAAAAAACGAAAATTAAACAATCTTTTAAAACATATTTGTAATAAAAATTCAAAGGAAATTACACCACAAAAACTAAAAAATATCATAAGCACCTATGTAAGTTTACCATATGTAGAATGAGAACAAAATTTATCACAATTTCTGTTGATGTTTATAGTAATACTAGCATTTAGTCTGTCAAAAATGACAAGGCTAGTACTACCACCCCCACCCCATAGTATACCCTAACCTCACATTTCATAGCTAACTGAAATAAATAAATTTTGCAAAATCAAGCTTGGCCAACAAAGAGGCAGAAAAGTACTACAGTCGAGACAGTCAAAATTAAGATCATTCATGAAATGAATCCATGGCATATTCATAGAATAATTATTGGTAAAAATCAGTTACATTAACAACTTCTAATATATAGAAAAACCAATGGGTTTTGGTAACACTACAATGGCTGTTATGTCATGTTGCTTATCAACAAAAGTATAACCAACTATTGTTGTTAGCCCATGTATTGAAAGTATAAAATGAAATGTATAATCAACAAAACTAAAAAAATATTTGTTGATTTCTTAATTTAGAGTCTCTGTTGATTAAAGAGGTTTATTTTTTATTTAAAATGTTGGTGATATAACAGAAAATAGCTTAATTCAGAAACAATTTAAGTTTAAAACTGAATCAATATTTTTACTTTCATCATAAATTTTAAGCACTTGGCAGTACGTTAGGTGATCCTACACCATATCTTTACTTTATGCTTATTATACCAACACTCACTACACTTATAAGGTTTCATAGCATCCCCCTCCTCAAGGCCCCCTTTCATCTCCATCACTAAAATCATAATGGGCAGACAATAATTGAACTATTCTATCTGGATAAAATGCATTTTGGCTTTTACGATTCCCCCCTATTTAGAGAAATCAAGCATGATGTGACACACACTGACTTTTATATAGGTTAGATAAAACATAACCTTAACAACTTTACCGAATCCCTTAACAGATGTATATTATTCAGAATACAGTTACCTATCCTCTAAGTACAAAAATAACTTTAAAACATTCTTTAACTAACCCTATTAAAATAATCTTCTAAAATATCCTTCAGGTCCACAATTGTTATCTTATAGCAATTCACTATTTTGTATGGCTATTTTAAGGTTTTTTTTTTATCCCAACATAAGAGATTCTCTCGTTTATTTTTCTTTGTAAAAAGAATAAAGACTAAAAACAACTTCATTGAATATTTATGCATTACTCATCACACTCAATTTTATTTTACAAGAATATATTCATCCATGTTTTTGTAAATACAAACTTTGGTTTACAGCTTCTCAATTTCCATACTGCTAATGGTGCCAAGTTGATAACTAAAATGTATGATATCCAAATAACATTTTCAGGTGGCAACTGAAGTACACATGAAATGTTACAAGAGTAGTAGTAGTAGTTTAGCTGCCTATATCAGTTGAAGCGAGTCTGTGACTTATGACTTTTGGATATGTTTTCCTCTACAAATTCCTTTCACTAATTTTACTTCCTAATGAGAGCTTGTTAAACTTTTTATTCAGCAATATTAAGAGAATGACATACAATTAGTAGTTTTTATTTTCTCTTTTTCTTCTTTTTTTTTAACTGGTATCCCCTGGAACCTTAACCGAGCCACACTCAACAATTGTTTTCCTTTAATGCATGAGTTATAATTTAGATAGTTTATATTTAGTTATTTTTAGAAGTGATAGTTTATTGCAGGTTTGTGTATGTAACTGTTTACAAATTATACGTTGTGTAGTTCAATAATTATGAATTGGTGATTGTTATATTATTGTGTCATGTAACAAGAACCTTCTGAGTTTTTCTTGTTGTTGTAATTGGATATTATTGCATCATAATATCTTGTGGTGTGTGGAATGTTCTAGGCCTCTGTTCAGGTATAAATACACATCGAAAATTGTGATTGTGAGCTTAGTCATAAAGAGTGTATAGTGGCAATTTTTTGAAGTGAAATTATCTCAGACTGTTTTGTAACAAAGGAGCAGAAAGAATAGTTCATCTTGCCAAAGTAATTGAATCAGCCTGTGTGGACTTTGACGAAAAAGGAAATTATTTAAAAACTCTGGATACAACTGTGATAACTAACAGTGTAACAAACATTTGTAAATATGTTTGACTTGTTTTTAATATATTATTTTAAAACAAGTGGACTATGTGCTGTCTGTTTATTGTTGAAATTTATCATAAAGAATCTGGCCCACACATAAAAACCTGACAACAATCAAAACTAGAGTGTGATGGAATACTTACAAAACCTTAAGAGACAGGGAAGAAATGAGCAAAATGAGCAGACGAGGTTAGTTAAGCTAAGCAAAAAATAGAAAAAAAAGTAAAACTAGGTTAAGAAACAGTAATAATTGAATTTTTTACAACCAAACTAGCTGTTTGCATATACAAACAAGGAGTGCCAACATCAGGGTCATGCAATATGCTATGAATCCCCAAAGCAGTGAGAGAGTCCCTTGATATGGTGATTCAGTTACTTGTCACTGGGAACAAGGTGAAAGCCAATGCAGAAGTAGAGTGTCTAGCTTATGATAAAATTTGCCAGCTGGTTTGGGGTTATAAGAAATACTAAAAAACTACTTCAATATGATTAAATTGTGAGGGATTATCTTTATAATACTGAGCTTCAGATCATATTTAATAGGACGTATAACACCTCATGATTCCATTAGAAAACGGATCAACCCATAATCCAGTGAGCATATTTCAGACTTATACATGACCTTAAGCTTTCCAGACTTGTAACAATCAAGCTTTTGTTTTTACTACACAAACGTTCATGATTTTTACACAATAAAAACTAACTAATCCTGAATAAGAACTCAAAGATTTGTATTATTCTTTCAGAATTAATTCTGAAATATAGCAAAAAAAAGGGGGGATATTATAAAATACATTTTACATAAATTATAATTATTTGGGTTCTCATTCATTCTTTAGCATTAGAGTAAGGACCTTTTATATAATCCCTAGTTTATGTAGTACTACAACTTTAAAGTGTTTCAAATACATGTAAGAATACCCAAAAAAACTCCAACAGAGAGCCTCTGGAGGATGTTAATCAATCTTGATATAAATGTATACACACTTCACAGATGAGTCTGATACTAAGTGTGCAGCGACCAACTACATAACGACACCTCCACCATAATCCTTAACATCTGGTACACAATAATCATACCGAAACTATTCACTTGCCCTTCTCCAAACCTATATACAGCCATAACTTTCAAAATCAGGTGAAGTTACTTTCATCACTCCAGGAGTAACTAGTTCACCAATTAAAATGGCTCTAAGCATTCTTAAGATGCTATAAGGTTTAAATATCCCCTCACTTCCAAAGGGCCCACATTCAGGGTCAGCATGTTTTATTAACTTCACAACTAGTGTCCTTTCACACGTGGTCAGGTTGGATGTAGTAAGCTCACTGTGAATTTCCCATCATACTGTTTGTCAGATTCAGACACTTTTAGCCAACTTGAATGATATTCAGATGTTATACAACCAAGTTAACAATACCATTATATGTTCACATGCACAGCAGATCACACAAAACTAAGTTATAACACTAGTTTACAATCCAATGTGATTCTTGAAAATTAAAAATTATGAACAAGTTACCTACCTCTTCTGGGCAGAGCTCATAAGCTTTTGCTAAAGTCACACGTGCACTATGTGATCTCTCCAAGAAATACCCATTGGAAGTCTCATTTGACTGAGCAGGTGGTGACCAGCTGCTATAACCATACTGGGTATTAGCTGGGTAAGGTCGCTGTCAAAACACATCGCGTATTAGTTGCGAAAAGCAAAACATTGACTCTGTATTATGTGTTTTATCTATGCTACATATAGCACTTGTATAATATTGAAAAGAAGAAAAATAGTAGTGAAAAAAATGCCTTAAAATTCTAGTTAATATATGTAAAAGAAACTGACTGCCATACATATTCAAAAAGAAATTCAATTATTCAGTGGTCATGCTAGTTTTTTTGTCAGTGCATTACAAAACACAAAAAATGTGTTTCCCATTTTTCGAGAGTTGCGTTCAAATGATACTTAACTAACATTTGTTTGCACAAAATGACTGCTTTGTTTGTTGTTAAGTGCAAAGCTACAAAATGAGCTGACTGTGCTATGGGTATGAAAACATGAAAATGAATGGAATCTTGTCATTTTGCTGAGATGAACACTTTTTATCGTGTAAACATAAAAAACAAATGTTACTCAACCTTTTGGCTTGAACCTGATAAAAAGTTGCACTGAATCATATATTGGTCAGTATTTATGCTTTGTCATGTATCCTATGATAAATTATTTGTAACTATTTAGAATATTTTTCATTTCTTAATACTTAATGGTGAGGTTTGAATTGTATGAGTTGTAGAATGTGCTTGTGAAACAAAATTCTTAGAACTAAATTAGAATATGAGTAATATTGTATCACTTTAAATTTCTAATTTTCAGTCATATTTAATAAAAAAAATCATTCTAAACAAATCGAAAGTCAAAGAGTAACAAAAAGTAGCAGAAGACAAGTTTAACACTTAATATATCATAAAATATCCTTCGTGCTATTATGCACTTTAAACAGCACTAACACCATGTATCTCAAATCAAATTAAGCACATTTAAATTCAGAATTTTTGCCTGTTTGTGGTAGTAAAGATTTTATTTGCTATTTCTGCAGTGACCCCTACTTAGTCAGGAAAGGGTTAATATTTCATCCCTTTCTCATTTAACAAGTTTTTTTATCCCATCCAATACATTTATTTTGCATACTTGATGCAAAGTTTTGAGTTACCATGACCATTGAATTATGTGTAAGAACTATGTACTGAATAATTCTTTGGACAGCAAATTTTTCAACATTTCAAAACTTGTGTGCATTAAACCTACCTTTTTAATATCCAACAAAGTTAAAATATTGTAAAAGTGTTATTTTTTTGTTTAAAACAATTATAAGTAATTACACAACTAGGGTGTCAGTGCCTTGTGGTTAGTGCTTTGGACTTCTAATTGAAAGTTTGAGGGTCCAAAGCTTCACTCACACATACTCCTTGTGTTCTTGAGCAACATACTCTACTCATCTGTAAAATGGATAACAGTGTGGTATATGCAGGTATATCCATGCATTTTATATCTTCTAATTTTAATGTAGAATTTTTAAAAGTTTTGTTGTTTATTCTAGGTATGTGCAACTTTCATATAGCATATGGTCACGAGTCATTAAGTTGAGTTTGTTCCAGCTGCCTTTGTCATTCTATCGAGGTCGCACCTGTCTGTTCATGAGCAGCATGGTTATAATACTGCATGAAGTGCAAGAATGTAGACAGCAATGTCCTTCAATGGTAGGTCAGATGGTATCTCCATGTTTGTAGTGCCACGTTAAGGCAGTGGGTGAAGTATAAATTAGTGACACCCCCCCCCCCCTCCTGCTTGCTCTTTCATTTAAGAAAATTCCTTACAAGTTGATAAATTAAATTTATTAGTGATAAAAAATTAAGGAAATAAAAAAGGAGGAAATTATAATTCTTAAAAATGACTGGTTTATTACTATTAATTTGATTATACACTTCATATTTTATTATTATACTCTTAACACCTGGTTAAAATATTTGCCCATCTAATAAAATGGTTCTGCATATTTGAATGAGAATTATCAGGCTTGTTGGTAGAGGTAGTTGATCTGGATTAGTGTGACATTACCAATTTAACTAGTGTGAGATTTGGACAACCTGGAACATCATCTTGATAGAACATATCAGTTTTTTGGGACAAGAGCCAGCCTGATGAATTCACAACTCCAGTACAGGCAACAGTCCAGCATCCAATGCAAATACACACACCATGTTTGTGATACTAATAAACGTTGTTCTTATTATGCACACTTTGTGTAGAACCTATTTATTTTTTAGCACAGATTCCGTACTTTTAAGGGATTTTTGGGTTACTTCGTAATCTATCTTGTCAAATCTCGTTATATATCTAACCTATCTAATTTACTCTTTAAGAAAATCAGTTTACCTGAAAATGCCACACCAGCTAATAGGTGGGGATTAACCTGTGATGGACTGGCATTCCATTAAGAGTGATTGTGAAAACATTCTTTAATAGGTGGGGATTAACCTGTGATGGACTGGCATTCCATCAAGAGTGATTGTGAAAACATTCTTATCCACTTATACCATAGGAAAATGGAGTTATACAACAGCCTTATGTGTCTTTAAGGCACACGAAGGATTTAAATTAACACATCTAAGGAATAGCATGCACAAAGAAATGCAAAGCTAGCATCAAGTTATAGTAAAACAGCATGCAAATTTTAGCTTGTTTTAGTAGTATAGCCATTATATAGCATCAACAAGACAAAAAAATGTGCTAGCATTAGACTGTACACTGGGATGATGATATCATGCATTGGTACTGTTTATCATGCATATAAAACAAAAGCAAAAAAAAACGGATAGTTGTTACGTAGTATCACCAAGTTATCCAAAATAATTTCATAACTTTAGCTTGTACATTGAGTTGCTATCATGCACAAAGATTATTTACTAGGCAAATCAAACACAGGTTAACAGATGTATGGCTGTTACGTATCATCATCATCATCAAGCTATTTAAAATATTACGCAAACTTTAGCTGATTTTAACCACATAATCTATTTTCAACGGATACTACTTCTTGTACAACATAAACAATGCTCTACAACCAAAAACTTGAAAGCTTCATTTTTGAATAAAATATTTAATTCTTACTATTTTCTATTGAGAACATATCTTTTGTGTTTCTTTTATGAAGTTTAATACTGGATCGATGGGTGTCTGTTCTCAAAAGAAAGATATTCCTTATTTATACTGTATCTGTATCTATATAATAGTACTGTCTGTTGTATGTCCATGTAACTACTTCGCAGGGTATGGATGGATCTTCACCAAAATTGGTATGGACGTTCATTAGGTCCATGCAGGGGCACATACAAATTTTCAATTTGGCATTTTACGTTTTTCAGATTTTCTGGACGTTTTTTATTAAACCTACTATTTTGTTTACAATCATGAGGTGCTACATTATTAACGTTATGAGATTTACCAAAGAGATATTTTTAGTTCTGCATTTTGTGGTTTTTTGCATTTTTTACCACTACTTTGCCCCCTGTTGATGGATTCTCACCAAATTTGGCACGAAGGTTTGTTGGTTTAATGTGGAGATACAAACAAAATTATGGTTTCACATTTTGTGTTTTGCAGTTTTTATGGGCATTTTTGTGTTTTTCACAATTACAT